GAGGTGGGGCGGGCTTTGGCTTGGACCGAGACCGAGCCGGACAGAGCCGCAAACGAATGCGCTCAGTAGCTCGCAGACGCCTCGCCAAAGTGCATCGCAAAGGGATCCAGCAAAAGACGTCCCCGCCATATACAACCAGCAAACGAAGCCACTCGCTGGACCGGGAGCAGAGGATCATCCCCAGAGAAGCAAAACAACTCCGCGATGACGAGGTAAGCAAAACGGTGAGCAGGGACTTCCCCCTGCAGACATGCAGGCCGCTTTGCTCGAGAAGATCGCCCACCGCAACAACTTCGGGTACTTGAGCAGATAACGCCGTGCCTTTGCGGTTTGCCTGTCCCCCTCGCTACGGGGCCGGAAGAAACCATGCGGCCACTCACTGACCTATGCCGGATAGTGTGTTTTGGGAACAAGACTGGTTAACTCGACACAACCAGTTTAACTGTAATTTTTTTTGAAAAACAATTAAAAATGTGAATAAATAACAGCATGGTTTTCGCCGGATGTCACGTCATTTAATGGTAGACGCCAATAAAGCGGTGAAGAACCTTTCGTTTCGCAACTTTTTGAACTAAGATTGCTCTAAAATAAAGATTTTTCAGAGTGCGTACGATGATACATTGTCAACATAAATTTTGGCTTGAACCTAACCAATGCCCCATAATGCTGATTTTCCCGCTGCGACTAACAAGAAACCACCGATAGTCGCGAAGTCGCGAATTACTTTGATGCAGTTAGCATGATAAACGAACTTGAGCAAGACACACACACACACACACACACACACACACACACACACACACACACACACACACACACACACACACACACAGCTATGCCCACAGCTAACGTTGCCCAACTCTGTCGGTATTGCTCGACTCCGCCGCGCGTACGGCGTGGCGTGCTAACGCTCCAGCGATCATTCCTTTTCCATTCCATTACATCTCAGGCATCGGCACCGATACGCCGGAGTAGGATAAGAATGAACGGGTGCACCCTTTTTTGTTTGTTTGAGAAATCCGCTTTTATTTGCGAATGCCATGTATTGTATTGTAATGGGAAACAAATGACTCAACGTTTGTGGAAACACGCGTATTTCGGAATCGGTCGGTTTTTGTTGTGACAAAAGGTCAGACGTGGTGGGGGTGGGGTGGGGGGACTGCCCCCTGCTGTCATCTCTAGTGATCCGTTTAAAAGGGCCAATTTGCTCTACAAAACCCCCCAATGTAGGCACCCCACTGCATTGCATCGCCCCCTCACAATAGGGTCTACATGCAGGGCCCGGGGCCCGCACAAGGGCTCTTATATTTAGGTTGTCGAAAAACAAAATTAGAGGAGCAGGAGATGGTGGTCTCTGGCAGCCGTCGAAGCCAGGAGCGCGCGCCCCTGCGGCCCAGCGAACACGGAGTTGATGTAAGAAACCGGCGACCATCCGTGTCATAACCGCGCGGCCGCGCGACTCACCGCCGTACCAGCGGTCCAGCGCGGTCTTCCCTGCCGGCTCATGTCGGCGGGGCGGGGCGGGGCAGAACGAGACTGGGCCTGCGAGCAAGGAGGCGAGAGGGCGGCAAGGAGCTGAGCGCCTGTGAGACTCGGGGTAGGCCACCCCGCAGTACACGCGCGCACTGTAGACGAGATGTTGCCTACCTACCAGGCGGTACGAGAGCTTGCATTGGCTGAGCTTGCTGAGCTTGGCAGGTTCGTAACGGCGAATGATGGACGTACTTTCTGGGGATGATCCACATGTCGCGTGGGTTGCCTGCCTATGTACCAGGTGCCCGCGAGCAGATGGTGGTAAGTCGATGTCGATGACTTATCCCTTTCCTCCGCTTCACGGCAGGACTCGTACCTCCAATTATTGTACGAAGAGGAGTTAACACGATGGAAAAACAGTGTCTCATTTTTTAGGGAAGAGGGAAAACTTTGAGGAACTCCCGTGGTATGACAAAAACTCATCAGATTTCGAGGAGGTCTCCTAAAAAAGGTGGGATTTTTCCTAATTTTTTAAAGAAGATTTCTCAAGATCGGAGGACTCTTCCTCAGACATGGGAGTTCCTCAAAGTTTTCCCTTTCCCCTTAAAAAATGAGACATCGTTTTTACCGCCGTGCACGCATACAGGTTAGTTAGTTTCCTGAGCGCGTATGACTTGGTGACTTCAACGCACGTGTCGGGCTGGTGACCGTTGGCGACCGTTGGCGACCGTTGGCGACCGTTGG